AAATGTTAAGTCATGGGGCAGCAGGAAAAAGAAAGTGGCACATCATGACTGGCACTTGAAAATTCCACCTAAAAATGACATGTGACTTTTGCTCCTATTCCTTTGGCTGAAGCAAATCATATGAGCAGCCCCAATTCAAAGTGACTACAGAGGGGCATTCCCCTCAACTAAAAGGAAAACTTGTGTAAGAAAAACAACAACTTCATCAAATTTCAGTGGACACATATTCATTTTAAATTCCTAAAATGTATCAGCTTCTAACAAACCTAACTACGTTTGCCAGTGAAACAACTTGGCTTTATCAAAATAATTGCAAAATGAAACAGTATCACCTTTGTCGCAGAAAGTCAATTTGGGTGTTTGCACTTTGGATTGTCCTGTGTGCACAGAACATCTCAAAAAGATTTGAAAAGATTCGTTTAGACAATAAAGTGGGAACAAGAATATACAGTCAACCCTTCATATGCATGGGTTCTGCATCTGCAGATTCAACCAACTGCTGATCAAAAATATTAAAAATAAATTGTGTCTGTATGAACATGTGCATACTTTTTTCTTGTCATTATTCCCTAAACAATACAGTTGATAAAATCTTTATGTAGTGCTTACATTTTCTAGTACTATAAGTATACAGGAGAATACACGTAGATTATATGCAAATGCTACACCATTTTCCATAAGGAACTTGAGCATCTAAGAATTTGGGTATCTGTGGGGGTTCTGGAACCAATTCCTTATGAATACTTAGAGATGACTATATTTAACTTCATATCTTAAGGACTTATCCCAACTCCATTTCTCCTTTAAAAAGAAAAATACTTTACTCACTATTAAGGGGGAGCATTTCTTAATATTTAATTTTTTTCTTCCTGTGAGGTGTAGTGGTACATGCTTATAATCCCAGTGACTCAGGAAGCTGAGGCAAGAGAATCACAAGTTCAAGGCCAGCCTGGGCAATTTAGTGAGCCCCTCTCTCAAAATAAAAAATAGGAAGGATATGAGATGATATGAGATGTGGGATAGGATGCCTCTGGGATCAATCCCCAGTACTACAAAAAAATTGGAGGGGAGTGCCTCTGGGGCTGTAGCTCAGTGGTAGAATCACTTGCCTAGCATGTGTGAGACACTAGGTTTGATCCTTAGCACCATATAAAAATAAATAAATAAAATAAATGCATGCTGGTCATCCTCTACAAAAAAAAAAAAAAAATCTTTTTTTTCTCTCCTGCACACTCAGGATTTGTTGACAGTTTGAGGGTTCTGATTCTAGAACTACACTGAAAACATTTGGAGTGTACTAAAAAGAAAGGTCCTTTTTCTGCTTTGGCCTCATGCTCTTGGAGAGACCCGAAAGAGAGTTGACAGTGTTCAGAATGGCCCCGGACCTAGTTTCAGCCTAGAAAGAACTAGATGGTTCTCAGTCATCTACCTCCTCCTTCCACCTCTTATACCTCTTCCTGCCCCTACCTAATAGTAATGAGAACAGCAACTACACCACCAGTTATAGATTCACAAACAGATGTGAAATGACACAGGTAATGATTTCACATGATGGTTGATGGCATTTGCCAACATAAAAATTATTACCCCTTTTGCTATAAATTCTTTATAAATTTTATAAACTATGCAAAAACTGACATTTCAAGAACTGAGGTGATTTAGATTTATTAAAAAGTTGAGCCCCTGGAGATTCAACAAAAGAGAGTACTTTATATTTCTTTATTTAGCTTTTAGTTGCATGGGTCTCACTTTTGTTTTCCAGATCCTATTTTATAATTCATAGGTTGAAACTAGGCATGACTGAGCTTTGACCACTTAATCCAGCTTTACTACAGATGTCTCCTGGGTCTTGGGCAGCAGATAAAACTTCTCTGAATTCCAAATTTCTTTATCAGAGCATGTGGGTTTCATGGCCACTCTCTAAAAGTTGACAAAAAACAATTTCATATCTAGAAAGCACTCTAAAATGCATCTCAGACATAAACTGGTGCCACTGTCTCTAGAGAGGATGGGTCCCAGGGAGACTTCTGTCACTACTCTGTCCTCTCTTTGTCTCTTCCTCACATGCCCCTTCTCTATTCAGCATCACACTCTGGTGGGGCCACCATGGCTATGCTGCCTTGGCTCTCTCCCAACAGAACTTTCATTACATTACCTCTCACCTGAGACTGTCAGAAAGCATCTTTCCTGAAGCAGCTGCTCTTGCCTGTCATGTGCAGAGACACCATGGTCACAGTTGGAATAAACCAAGTACATTTACCAGCCCCTGTGGAAGCATGGCATGGTTGTGTGTGTATGCACTGTGAATGAGTTCATCACATGTCCCTTTGAAAGGAATGGTATGGCAGGTTACTTCTGCCTTTGTCCTCAGAACTAGAAATCATGAAGAATTAAAGTGGAAATCATCATCAGAAATCAGGCTATTTTCTAGCTTGCCTGTCTCCCTCTCACTGACTCAATTCACCCACCCCTGCTCTTAAAGTTTGAAGATTAGTTTAGATTATAAATCTCAGCTTCACTGGGGCAAAACCTGACCTTAGCATTCCTTGCACACCAGTTGTCCCCGGTGTAATTAACGCTGCCCTGCATGTTTAGGCAATTATCATTGCACCGCATGTGGGGTGCTGTACTCCCGCCTCCGCTGGGGCAGGAGGCAGTGTTTGGCTCCACGGCTCTTGCAAATCTTGTGTCTTCATCCAGCTGGAGGTACCTCTGTGGTGGTCTCTCCTATACACTGTTTTCTGAAAACAGTAGTGATTTCTCATGATGTCTGAATTACCCTCCCTTCTACAGTTATAGGCAATTCCTTCCTGACTAGGTCAGGGTCTCCAGGACCCTGGCCTTAAAACATATTTCACTTCTCTGGGAAGTTTCATTTGTCCTCAGCTATTGCAAACACGATCTTGCTGAACAGAACTGAATTTTGAACGCTGTTTGTGGTGGGGATTCTGATGGCTTCACATTAGTTCAAGTCTCTGAGGACCAGTGCCAATAAATGTAAAAGGGACAACAGTAGATTGGCATACTTTTCCATTTCCACCAGGATGAAAAAACTGCTATAAATTAAGTCTAACCTTAAATGTATAATCTGTCCTTGGGAGGAAAAAAAAAAAAAGGATATAGCATCTTCAAGCTCTCGGCATCCCTTACGAGAAAAAATTGGTTCTAAGGGTCTCTGATCTTGTGTTTTAGTAAAATAGAACTGCACGGCTGACTGACAGTTCTGATCTAAAGCATTTACGTTTAAGTTTTGATCTCTCTGCTTTTGATTAAAACTAATGAGCTCATTTAATTCAAAATGGGAATCTCTGATAAGAGAAATAAGGTTGATGTGATTGGATTAGAGGGGCAAATTAAACTCTTAGAGCAGAAGTTTGTGCTTATATAGTGTATTAAAAAGCTGTTGGCGTATTATGGCGTGTTAGATGATGAGAAAAATTTCATAGTAATTCATATTTAATCAGAAGAAATGAAAGTACTAAATATAACATGGCTCTGCTTTTCCCTCGAGTGATAAAAAGCTGTACATTTAAAATGACATCAGATCCATGCTCTCTAAAAAAAAAAAAAGAAAAGAAAAAGAAAGAAAGAAAAAGAAAATCTTGAGACACATAAGAAAGGAATGCTTGTCAATGGTCCCATCGTCCCAGAATAGAAATGCCACAAATGTAGGAATATAGAGTCTTATTAAGAATGATACAAGAAAAGCCCCAGACCACAAATAGCAAGGTTTCTGTTATTAGAGTAGCTCTCATTTCTTCATCTGAGCATCAAGTTTAATATGACAAACAAACATTATGTACTCTTAGAAATATATGAATTACATTTCATAATCTAAAATTTAAAAGCTTGTTTTGCCATTTTATCTATTTTAATAGCTATCTTTACATATACTTAATTCTTAAATCTCTTTATTAACTGTATTTCTTTACCTCCATTCCAGAGAAAATTAGTGTTAGCATAGGGCTACTTAAAAGAAACCTTCATTGTTGTTCTACATCATTTTTTCCTTTTGAATAAGAAAAACTTTAATATTTAAGAAGATAGAATTTGAGTATTTTTTAAGCTTTAACCCCCTTTCTCCCGCAATTATTTTATTTGCAGGAAGAGACCTAAATTCATAAAATACCTTAGAAGCTTATTTTTAAGAAAACAGACTTATGCTGCCTTCTGATCCTTTTGCATGAAGGTGTGCTTAGATCAGCAAGATTTTAAGCTACCACTTTTAAGTTTCATAAGTCTACAAATTTTCTACTTACTCTAAAAACATATGAAAGGAACAATTAAGTATTTTGTTTAAGAGAAGAAATCTATTTTCTCATATCAGAAGCAGAGAAGTGAAAAAAGAGACCCCTGCCTATATGGGTAAGGGCCAGGGGCAAGATGCCATTGTGACAGGAATAAGAAGTTGATATCATGAGTAGTTTTTATTTCTGTCCTTGGTACATCCCATTCTCATCCCTCTGTCTGGAGTCAGTTGAGAAGACCTTGGGCTTCTTGTCCCCACAATGAAGAAAACCAACTCAGGAGGGCAAGGACATTGGTCAGGATGTGGCTCTCCAATCTGGGAGGCTTTCTGGTTCTGACCCCTCATCAGAAGCATCTCAGCCTGTACCTTGGTTGACCCCATAAATCTACAGGACCCTTCTTTTTCCTGACTGTCCTCTCTGCACAGGACTCAACTGAGTCTCAAAGTGAGCTACAATTACTTACCATTGGAACCCACTGGAGCTGCTGCAAGTTAAGGAGCTGCTGCAAGTTAAAAGACTTGAAAAAAATCTCTAGCTAGAAACAGGAAAGAAGCTACTTTAGACACATTAATTTTTCTTTTTTATTTTCTGCAAAGTAAACATTCTCTAAATGAGGTAAATTGATTACTACACTCTTAGCACCCATCAGTCATTTATTTTTAGTGAACTCAAGGATTGCACCTGAGCAGTAGCTGTGAAGGGCTGTGGAGAGCTCTAAATCACGTGTGTATGTATTTTTGTATTCCTCAGTGGAGTCCACCAGCCCCAGCCTGCTAACCACTGACAACACCCTTGAGCGTTCCTTTTTCATCCGAATGAAATCTACTCTGACCAAACGTGGCGTGCACATCAAATCGTCAGGATATAAGGTAAGCTGGGTTCGGAGAGGGGAGACATTTCTGTTTCAGACCAATCTGAGCTAATTTGCATTGAGTTTTCCAGATGCCTTGGGTCTGTATAATTAACACATGTGACCTTGACCAGCCCATAGGGTTCCTAGTCATCTTTCCTGTCTCAGAGTAGGGCTTCTTTATACCTCCTTATCACTTCAGACATTGCTGATGCTCTAAATGCCCCAGGGTCGTGTCTTTTCTTAAAACGCTGGTTAATAACACGCCAAGTGCTTCAGCACCTGCAAGAAATTCACTTTGATGGAGAAGGTGACCCAAATTCATATCAGTCCTTAAAAGGAGTATTCTAGAACTGTTGCTTATGAAAGTTCTACTTCTCTCACTTTCCCCTTCTAATTCTCCCTTTCTCTTTAGGGAAAGACTGTTCAGTTTAGGAGCATCTTGGCTGCAGATATCTGTACACCTAGATAGGAAAATCAGGTTGGGTGTTACAAACCTTCATTCTGAAATTACAGTAATTGAACATCAGTTATACGTTAGCATACACAGAATACACAACATACAGGGTATATGTTCCTCACAAGCAGAGACCAAGTCTGGAGTCATAATCTACATTATTATCATTTTAAGGTTAAAGATATAAAAGCCCTCTAATCTCAAGAAATTCCAACATTCCAGTTACTATAGCAACATAAATTAAGACCTATGAAATGCCTTTGGCAACCTGAATCTTATCAATTTTACAGCACATTAACCAATCTCAAGCAATATTTATTGTCTGTAGGATGGCAAACAGAAACTGAATGTATCATTGATGTGGCCAGCATGACCTTCCCCAGTTTGGGACTTTAGAACTCCTGATAACTCATTTCTTTAGGGTGACCATAGCATTGTCAAGGGTAAAAACAGCTGTTAACATCAGGCATTGAAACATTCATATAAGTCATCAGGAGACTAGCAGCTGTATAAAGTCAGAGTCATGCACTTTCTTTGACATTAATTCTTCAGAAAAAAAGAAGAAAGAAAGAAAGGAGGTGGGAAAGCAGGCCCTTCCAAGGACGACCTTTAGCTGAGCTGTCCTACAGTCTGAAAGGCACATGTGGTGCAACCTTGACCTTTCCAGGGTGTGAAGCAAAGAGGCAGCCAGGGCAGTTCCACCTGCGCCTGCTGCCTGCTGCAGTTCACCCTATGGAGGCTGGCTGCAAAGCAATGTATTGGGGGAAAGAAAACAGACCTCATCCTTAGGACCACTTTGTATTTCCCTGCCTTGCTGAACACTATGCATTTATTAGTTGTTAACTGTGTAGCATTAGCGAATTTAGGATTCTATAAACAGACTACAGATATGGAGATTATTGTTACTTTTATGCTAGAACGATGCATTCTTTGCATCCCAGATTTTAGGAGCCATAATATTTTCTTTCAACTCTGACTTTTCTGTCTCTCAGCATTGTTTCTTCACCTTTTCTGAGTTTTACTGGTTTGTGGGGATATATCATAGGAGGAGCAGGTTTTAAAATGCAATAGTATAATTTAATATCATTAGATAATGTAATTTTAAAAATTCTGTTTATACTACAAGCTAGAAATCTCAAATCTCTTCAGATTTTTTGGTCTGCAAGAGTAGAACTGGTCAGGTGCAGAGGCACATATCTGTAATTTCAGGGTCTCAAGAGGCTAAGGCAGGAGGATCTCGAGTTCAAAGCCAGCCTCAGCAACTTAGCAAGGCCCTAAACAAATTATTGAGACCCTGTCTCTAAATAAAGTATAGAACAGGGCTGGAGGTGTGGCTCGGTGTTTAAATACGCCTGGGTTCAATCCTTGGTACCCCCCCCCCCACAAAAAAAGGCTATGTGGATAAAGAAGTAATATGAAGAAACAGTTTGGGTCTATGAAAGAGACCAAGTATTTTGTGTTTGAATTGCCATATGGGCATCTCAGCAAAGTTGATTTTGCTGCTAGACCTGATCAGACAAATGAAGATCTTAGAGACTGATACTTCATTCATTCAGCAAAGATTCATTTAATTCCCACTATGGGACTTGTTCCAGATCCTAACAATCCAGCATTGAAGAATAATGTTTTTGCTTTCATAAAAAGTTTTCCTCTTACAAATCCCACAATTATGTACAACTATAATGCTTCAATAAAAATATGGAAAAATGTTTCCCCCTTACATTCTATTGGGGGAGATGGACTATAATAAATCAATTAATAAAGAAGGTGATCTCAAAGAATAATGAATACCAAAGTAACAACAGGTGAGCTCTAGGGCCTGACAATATGTTGGGCATGATATAGTTTATAGATATTAAGCATCACAACAGTCCTAGAGGAAAATGATTTTATTGGTTCCACTTCACAGATTAAGAAACTAATGCTAGGGAGGATGATTAGCATATTTATGCTAGAATGAGGCATTCTTTGCATCCCAGATTTTAGGAGCCACATTAAAGAAGACAGAACTTGAATTTGGGGAGTCTCAATCCACACCCCATGTACTTAACAACTAGGCTACACTACTATGTGGAGTGAAGTCAAGTAATGTGAAGGAGTGGCTGGTAGGGGCCAGAGACCACTTTAGATAGGAGGGTCACAGAAGGCCTCTCTACATAGCTAACATATCACCTATGAGTAGTTAGTAAGAAGGGAAGAAACAAATGGAATAAAAATGTTTCTGAAGCAATTTGAGTTTAGGATTAAAGATATCTTGCTATAAAGGTGGCCTTAAAGAAATAAAATATTAAAATGCACAACCTTGAACAAACAGTATTGGAAAAGATTTGGGAGCTATTCCAGAACCCATCAAATCATATAATGTTAAAGTACCCATACTCCTCTACCATACCCTATTCAAAAGTCTTTCCCAAGATACCATGAAAGCCCCCACCTAGTGCCTTATTCCCCTCCCCAGAACGGCTGCTACAAGAATTGATTCATCCACTGTCCCCCAATAAGATGAATCACCCAACAGATATGACTTGTCCCCTCCTCCTTCTCAGTGAACAAACATCTCTCCTTAATTAACCTTGTCTGAAATTTGGTAGAAAAATTGATGAGAACCCATGACATACACAACTGAATAACATCCCTACTTATCTGTTCATTCTCAGTAAGTAAATCTAGCAGCTTATAAAACATTCCAATAAACCTGGTAATCATCCCGCCACCACACAATAAACACAAATAAAAAGAAACAGTGAAGATAATTTCTCTGTCCCAATATTCACCCTAATTTATTACTATTGTGTGCATCTCTCTTTTTCCCTTAAAGATCCAAGATGGTAAGCCTAACTCATTGCAGGTCACTATACTTCTCTCCATTTTCTCCTGCGATTTTGGTACATGAACCTTTAGAAAGTTCTCCATCATTTTATCTGTTGCTGTTAGCACTGACAGTAATCACAGAAACAAAAATACCACTTACTGAGCATTGACCCTGTGTCAGATACTGTGCCAACCATTTTATATTTATTTTTTTTAATCCACAGAACATTATTATTTGAAAGCCTCCTTTGTGCATTGTTTTTATCATTTTCCATATAGTGAAACTGAGGCCTTAATAGGCAAAATGCTTTCCCATGTTCATAACTTTTAGGTAGCTAGTGAGGAGTCAAAATTGAATTCATGCAATATTGATTGATTGATTTTTTGCAATACTGGGGATTGAACCCAATGGCACTACCACTGAGCTTCACCTCCAGCTCTTTTTGTTTTTATTTTGACACAGGTTGATAAGTTGCTGAGGCTATCCTCCAACTTGCAATCCTCCTGCCTCAACTACCTAAGTTGCTGGGATGACAATCATGAGCCGTGGTGCCAAGATTGAATCCATGCCATTAGGTTCTAGCATTTTAACCCCTCTCTTCACTGCTTAATTAAGTCCAAAGATGGGCTCAGGATGAGATGGACATCAGCATTTGAAAAATTATTGAATTTAAATTTTGAAAAGAAAAACTTCTTGCCTGATTAAAATCTTCCCCTTGTGGCTCACTAAATCCCATTGCACTGATATAGCCACACTTGTTGATTACAATGGCCCCCAAGGATTTACCTTCCTTCCTGGGACTCATACCTGCTCCCACAAAGGCTGAACATCCCTAAGCTGAAAATCTGAAATGCTCCAAAGTCTGAAACTTTTTAACACTATCATAATGCTACAAGTAGAAAATTCCACACCTGACCCCATGTGACAGGTTGTAGTCAAAACACAAATGCACTAAAAATATCATATATAACTGCCTTCAGGCTGTGTATAAGGTGTCTAAGAAATATAAATGAATTTCATGTTTAAACTCGGTTCCCATCTCCAAGATATCTCCTTATGGATATACAAATATTCCAAAATCTGGGGGCAGAGGGACTGTAATTTGAAACACTTCTGGTCCCAAGCACTTCAGATAAGGGATACTCAACCTGTACCACATAACTAAGACTCTTAGCCAGAGAAATGCCAGTCTCCATCTACTACAGAGTGTCAACTGTTGAGGCTTAGTTTGCTACACCCCAGTCCTCAGGAAAGTTGCCCTCTCTAATGAAGTTTCCTAACTATGAGCTGACATTGGGTTGTTTCTGTCCTCATTTGCTTTGAAATCCATGGTAGCATGTTATCTGGTCCAGCCACTGCTTATGCCTTAGGGGCTTCCCTGTTGTTTGGGTCTCATTGTTGGGTACATATCTTAGCCTAACACAGCTCCCATTTAAATTGCCTCCCATCTCTATTCTGCCTTCCTGATTAGGTCTATGGCTGGGGGAACTCACTAGGTGTAGCACATGGGGTACAAGTAGATACGCAATCAGGGAAATTATAGAAGCGGAGACTAATTGGGTCGCCTCCTTAGCTCCTGTCTTTGGAGGATAGTTTCCTTTGGTGTGGGACTTGCAGTTTCCTAATCTACTCTTAAATGCCCACCAGCACCACTATCATTTCTGGAATATTTATCCCCACACATTCTAATGTCCTGACTCTGATGACATAGTACAGCAACCTAGACTGAGAAACAGACAAAGAGAGAGAA